GGTTACAGAACTAGATATTGATGGCCCAGGCTCTAATCCCATTGATCTAGTTATGTGAAAACTGCAGCAGAACCAGTTTTCTGGATTACACCATAAAAAAAAAAGAAAAGAAAACTCCAGGCACATTGCTGAGTTCAATAAGGATCCTTCCAGACCAACCTCACCACTCCAAAAGACCCATGTCAGTCTTTAACCTACAGTCTAATTCTAAAACCATGATAAAAATCTGATATAATGGCATTTTCCCCCAAATCACATTTATTTGTGTAAAACTTTTTTTTTTGCTTTTCCATGTTTTGAACTTAATGTGTTGTTCAGGTGTAGGAAGTTAGCACCCACCCCTCTCCTAGAAGAATGAAATATTTTAGGAAATATTAAAAAAGGCAGAATATTATACTTCCCTGGATGAGAAATGAAGAAACATTCTTTAAAGACAAAGCAGCTTTCTGCCTCCCCCCCACCTTTGTCAATGGGCCATTAAGGCCTCAGCCAAGCTCACTCATTCCCCCCACCTTTGTCCATGGACCATCATCTGCAACACAATAGGACCCATCTAGCAACAGAAACTCACCACGTGGCACCTGGGAAGATTACATCAGCCAGCAAGGCTAGCTAAGACCCCCACCCCCTGGGAGTCTGACAACCAATCAGGATGCTCTTCCTGTGCCCCAGGAAGTTCAAAGCTCAGAGAGGGCATAAAACCAAGGCACGCTCAGCATCTCGACCCTTTTCAGTTCAGGAACTCAAACCATGTGATCCTGTTCACCATTAAACCATCTTTCCAAGCAGTCTCCATGTTTCCAGTGTCTTTTTCCCCACTTGGAACTGAACCCAGAAGGATATTTCTTCCAACAAAAAATCAAAACAAAACAAAACAAAAAAAAACAGGCAGGGAAGGTATCATTTTAATGATTAAGGGTCTTAAATGTATGAACTTAGAGCAGCTTTGCAAGAAATATCCTTCTGGGTTCAGTTCCAAGTGGGGAGAAAGACACTGGAAATACAGTGGCTGCTTGGAAAGATGGTTTTAATGGTGGACAGAATCACATGCCTTGAAGATCTTGGGTGAAGAAGAAAAAAAAGGGAAGAGATGCTGAGAGTGCCCGGGTTTTATGCCCTCTCTGGGCTTTTGAATTTGAGCTTGTATTCTGATTGGTTGTCAGACTCCCATGGGGCCATGCAGGGGTAACTTTGTAGGTTGTCCTTTTTGAGTCCCAGGCTTGGTTGAGCCTTGCTGGGTGATGATGTAATGAAAGGGCTTTGGACAATTCCTACTATGGCTCTGCCTGAAGGAGGTAGATCTTTGTTATGTAGAATAGACTGGCCCAGGCTTTAGTGGCCCATTGACAAAGGTGTGTGGGCTGAGTTTCTGTCTCCCTTTTAGGGGAAATATTCTGCCCTTTTAATATTTCCTAAAATATCTCATTTTCCTAGGAGAGGGGTGGGTGCTAACATTGTACATTAAAAAAAAAATAGTGCAATTTTAAACTTGGGAAAAGGAATGCAAATTGGGGCCCTTAGCTTTTATTGTTTTTAAAATACTTGCAAATGCCAATACAGATAGTCCTCAACTGACAACAATTTAGCAACTGTTCAAAGTTATAAAGGCACTGAAAAAAGTGACGTAGGACTTAGCAGCATCCCCATAGTCACGTGATCAAAATTTAGATGCTTAACAACTGACTCATATTTATGATCATTGCAGTGTTCTGGAGTCATCTTTTGCGACCTTCTGACGAGCAAAATAAATGGAGGAAGCCAGAATCACTTAACAACCGTGTTATTAACTTACGACCATTGTAGGATGCAATGTCCTGGGGTCATTTTTTGAAATCTTGGACAGCAAAGTCATTGGGGAAGCCAGATTCCACTTAACAACCATTTTACTAACTTAACAACTGCAGTGATTCCCTTAACAACTGTGGCAAGAAAGGTCGTAAAATGGAGCAACTCTTAACAATTGTCACGCTTAGCGACAGATCTGGGACTCAATTGGGGTTGTAGAAAGTCAGCACCCACTCTCTTAGAAGAATGAAATATATTGAGGAATATTAAAAAAAAAAGGCAGAATATTATATTTCCCTAAATGAGAAATGAAGAGGCATATTTTTTTAGAGGCAGGAAGCAGACTCAGTTTTTCTTAAAGGCCACCAAGCAGAAACTGTTGAGGCAGCATTTAGAAATGCAGATTTGGTAATCCATTCAAGACAGGATATTTTGAAACTCCTTGCAGCAAAGCCTGGAAACAGGCAGAATGATAGGATTAACCCTCACTCAAAATCCAACACATGACAAAGCCATTAAGCCACAATAGGAATTGCCCAACACCCTTTCAGAACACAAATTGCATCACCCCAGAGCAGTCCAAACTTCAACCAAACCTGGGAGCTCAGACAAACACACAGGATTTGCATTTCCTCTTTTGCCTATAGAGCCAGCTATAACCCCTACATGACCCCATAGGAATCTGACAACAGCCAATAGAATACATGTTCTTGCACAGGAATAGGAAGCTCAAGTGCAAAGATAAAGAAGGTATAAAAAAAACCCTCTCTCAACACCATTTTGCCAGCTGCCCAGAACCACAAACCCATGTAGTTCTGCTTCATCAATAAACCATTTTTTCAATCAGCCTCCATGTTTCCAGCTTGGAACTGAACCAGATGGATATTTCTCCCCACAGGGTCATAAGTCAAGGACTATTTATAAAGCTCATGGTCCCTTTAATGATGTCACTGTGATGGCCCTCCTTACATCTTGAGAATGTTGCAAACCTAGATGTTAGCTCCTACACCATGGAAGAGTTGCCACTTCTGGTTTAGTGCACATTATCCAATTTGTCAGGATTTCAGCATGCCCTGGAGCAAAAGTGTTGAAATCCTATTTTTAAAAAAATTATTTTCATAGACATAACTTGACCTTGTATAGCTAATCACATCTATTTGCACTGTGATTTGGAAAGGAGGGGCCAGAATCAACATTCTTAAAATAACAATTCCTGTATTACTTGAAGGCCGTCAAACTATTTTACACAAGAGGTGTTTGCACATGTATTTTAGGATCCTGCTGTACTCTGGTTGATCAGGACTTGGGTTTTTTTTTTGTTTTAATGAGACTAAAATTTCCAGCCGCAGAACCAGTTGGACTCCCAATTCCTTTCAAAAAATACAGTTAATGAACAGATTAACAAGGGACCTTGTAGGTCATCTAGTCCAACCCCCCACCCCATCCAAGCAGGGAACCTTATACCGTTTCTGACAAATGGCAGTCCAATCTCTTCTTGAAAGTCTCCAGTGATGAAGTTCCGAAGGCAATTTCCATTGGTTCCATTGGTTGATTGCTCTCAGTGTCAGAAAGTTCCTCCTTAATTCTAGGTTGAATCTCTCCTTGATTAATTTCCATCCTTTATTCCTTGTCTGGCCTTCCGGTGCCTTGGAAAATTGCCTGACCCTTTCCTCTCTGTGGCAGCCCCTCAAATATTGGAAGACTGCTATCATGTCTCCCCTGGTCCTTCTTTTCATCAGACTAGACATACCCAGCAGGGGTGGGTTCTACTTACTACTGGTTTGCAATGGGAGCATGTGCACGCTTTTGCACATGCGCAGATCATCAATTATTACGTCCAGGTGGGTAGGTGGAGCCTCCTGCCACTTTTACTACCGGTTCTAAAGAACCAGAGAGAACCAGGAGCAACCCACCACTGCAACCGTTCTTCATATGTTTTAGCCTCCAGTCCCCTAATCACCTTGGTTACTCTTCTCTGCACTCTTTCTAGAGTCTCAACATCTTTTTTATAGTGTGGTGACCAAAACTGGATGCAGTATTCTAGGTATGGTCTTACTCAGGGGTGGGTTCTAAATTTTTTTACTACCGGTTCTGTGGGCGTGGCTTATTTTGTGGGTGTGGCTTGGAGGTCATGTGACTAGGTGGGCGTGGCTAGCTGGTCAGTCATTTCTGGAAGGTCCTCGCACTTACGACCCGACTCATTTGTTTGCTTTTAACACTGATCAGCTGTAGGGACGGCCCTTTGAAGCCCTGCAGCAAGAGTTTAAACAGTTTTTTTCCCTCTAGTCATCAGCTGGGACTCAGGGGGCAGCAATAGATTGGGGGTGGGACCAAATAAAAGGCAAGAATAACGGGGGTGGGGGGGTTGGGGGGCAGGGGGGAGAACCGGTTCGGTGACATCATATCGTCACCGCTACCGGCTCGGCCGGACCGGACCGAACCGGGAGGAACCCACCACTGGTCTTACTCAGTGATGGGTTTCAAAATTTTTTACTTCCGGTTCTGTGGGTGTGGCTTGGTGGGCATGGCATGGCTTGGTGGGTGTGGCAGGGGAAGGATACTGTAAAATCTCCATTCCCACCCCACTCCAGGGGAAGGTTACTGCAAAATCCCCATTTCCTCCCGATCAGCTGGGACTTGGGAGGCAGAGAATAGATGGGGGCGGGGCCAGTCAGAATTTTTACTACCGGTTCTCCGAACTACTCAAAATTTCCGCTACCGGTTCTTCAGAACTGGTCAGAACCTGCTGAAACCCACCTCTGGTCTTACTAAGGCTTTATAGAGTGGTATGAGTACCTCACTTGATCTTGATTGTATCCTTCTGTTAATGCAACTCATTAACATAATAAGTTAATAAGTTGCATCAACAGAAGGCTACAATCAAGATAATAACCTGTTTTATTAAGTGTAACCACATTTGACTCTCTCTTCACTCCAAGAGGGCAAATTCAAAGAAAATTCCAGAGTTTCCCAATGTTATATGTTAGCTATCAAGTTTCCTTTTCCGAGCCCCATTAATGAGCTAACTGGTTTTTTTTTCCTCTTTTTATCATGGTACCTGATCTGGCTTTTAACAGCTTAATTAATGCTGCTAACGTCCCCCTTCTTCCTAGAAATTTTCCTTTGCTCCTGACAACCATCGTGCTGTTTCAAAGCTTTTTTTCCCCCCCTCCCATGTTGGAGAAGTAACTCACACAGACAAAACTAAGGCTGACCTTGTGAGATGGTACTGTGAATATTAATGAAGGGCCTCCTCTCCTGTCCTTACTCCTTTCCTTGCTTCAAATTTCTTTTATCGTAACTGATTAACAAAAGAGAGGAAATTAAATGAGGCTAACATAAGAATCTAACCAAAGTTGGGAGGCCTATCGGTCTCTTTTCAAAACTGTAAAGGGATAATATTTAAAACAAAAATAGAAAGAAAAAAAAAGAGAGAGTGAGAAATTGTAAGCCAAAAGAACATACGGCACGAAAAAAAGAACACTAGAAAGAAACATAAAGCAGGGATGAAATCCAGCAGGTTCGGACAGGTTTTGGAGAACCAGTAGCGGAAATTTTGATTAGTTCGGAGAACTGGTAGCGGGAATTTTGAACAGTTCGGAGAACCGGCAAATACGACGTCTGGCTGGCCCCAGAGTGGGGTGGGAATGGAGATTTTGCAATATCCTTCTCCCAGGAGTGGGGAGGGAATGGGGATTTTGCAGTATCCTTCCCCTGAAGTGGGGTGGGAATAGAGATTTTTTTTTTTTGATTTATATGCCGCCCTTCTCCGGAGACTCAGGGCGGCTTACAATGTGTTAAGCAATAGCCTTCATCCTTTTGTATATTTATACAAAGTCAGCTTATTGCCCCCACAAACTGGGTCCTCATTTAACCTACCTTAGAAAGGATGGAAGGCTGAGTCAACCTTGAGCCTGGTAAGATTCGAACCTGCAGTAATTGCAGGCAGCTGTGTTAATAACAGGGTGCTTTAAACCACTGTACTACCAAGGCTACTTGGTAGTACAGATTTTGCAGTATCTTTCCCCTGCCACGGCCACCAAGCCACACCATGCCCACCAAGCCACGCCCACCAAGCCACGCCCACAGAATCAGTAGTAAAAAATTTGAATTTCACCAGAGATAAAGTACTGGGGTTTTTTAAGATAGTGGACAACCATGTCTTGCCTGAGAAGTGGGTTGGACTAGAAGACCTCCAAGGTCCCTGCCAACTCTGTTGTTCAGTTAAATATTAAATAATCTTTGTATTTCTCCAACATTCCTCTGCTTGCTAGCCATGGATCGTTGCTCCTGTCATGTCCATATACAATTTAATGTGTTGTCTTCTGCTCTTTAAATTTCCCACTTGCCTATTTTTAAAGTTTTGTCAGCTCCATCCAACTGCAGGCAGTCCTTGACTTATAACAGTTCATTTAGCGACTTTTCAAAGTCACAACGGCACTGAAACAAGTGACTTATGACCGTTTTTCACACTTACGGCCGTTGCAGCATCCCCACAGTCACGTGAACAAAATTCAGACGCTTGTCAACTGACTCATATTTGTGACGGTTGCAGTGTCCCGGGATCATGTGATCACTTTTTGTGACCTTCGGACAAGCAAAGTCAATGGGGAAGCCAGATTCACTTAATAACCGTTTTGCTGACGTAACAACTGCAGTGGTTCACTTAATGACTGTGGCACGAAAGAATGTAAAATGGGGCAAAACTCACGTAACAATTGTCTTGCTTAGCAAAAGAAATTTGGGGTTCAATTGTGGTCATAAGTCAAGGACTGTATAAGATTCTATATAACACGCATAACATTCTCAATCTTCCCCTTCCTCAAACACATTCTCTTTTCCTTCATATAGTTGCATTGAAGTTCCATGGTTATTCATTCTGTCCAAACAACCATTCCTAAACAAATCTATTTCATTGACTATGCCTCTTCATATTTTTTCCCTTGTATAAAGTAACCCCATCAAGTTGATATATTGTCTCATACATTACCCTTTGTTCTTTATACTTTTAATTATTATCTTTTCATTGGAAGTTTACAACACATAGTCACAGATTCTTTAGAACTCAACAGAATATTTATTATCTTTGATTGCCTCATGTCATGATTGGTTATTTGCCATCAGGAAATCTTAATAGGATAAAGTCTGTTTTATTCTTGTTTAAAATACATTCAGTCAAACTGATTTGTTGAGTTGTATGCTGGATTAACTACTACCTCCTTGGATTTCTGTCTTCAGAAACATAGAGAAAAATCTGGATGGATGATTGATGTTATGCTACTACAATCATCTTTATTTTATTTATTTTTATTTTTTTAACAAATTGAGTGAAAACCGGAATTATTTTTATTAGATATAGTAAGAGGAAATTATTGTAAGAAAATTCAATATATTATACTGCACATAACAACTGTGGCCAGAATTACATATGCACAAAATTGGAGAGCACTCCTTCAGATGGAATGGTGATAAAAAAAGGTGCTAGAATGTGTGGAGATGGACAGGCTAACAATGGAAATAAAAGAAAGAGAAGAAATGGAATATTATTTGATTTGGGACACATGGTATAATTGGTTAGAGAATAGAAGTAAAGAATAAGAACATAAAGATAATTTAAGAGGTATTTTTAAGTTAAAAGCAGGGGTGAAATCCAGCAGGTTCTGACAGGTTCTGGAGAACCGGTAGTGGAAATATTGAGTAGTTTGGAGAACCAGCAAATGCCATCTCTGGCTGGCCCGAGAGTAGGGTGGGAATGGAGATTTTGCAATATCCTTCCCCTGGACTGGGGTGGGAATGGAGATTTTGCAATATCCTTCCCCCAGGAGTGGGGAGAGAATGGAGATTTTGCAGTATCCTTCCCCTGCCACGCCCACCAAGCCACGCCCACACCCACCAAGCCACGCCCACAGAACTGGTAGTAAAAAAAATTGGATTTCACCACTGGTTAAACGGTAATATATATAGTTACAAATAATGACACAATATATAGAACAGATATCTATTTAAATGGTAAGGAAGAACAATGAAAATAACTAATTGTACTTATGAGTGATACTGATACTGGAGTGCTGTAAAGATTGAAAATGTGGTATAAAATGAAGAAAACCGTTCAATAAAAAAAAACCAAATTCCTCCCCCTATCATCTTTAATTCAATTGCTCTGGTTGGGTTGTATTTTTTTAATGGCTTCCCAAAAATCCAGGGCCAATTTCTAGAACCATTAATATTCTCAAGATGAAGTTAAAGCGTTCTTACTGGCAACATATCAAAAAGTCTGGCAAGGAAAAAGTAAACGAGATACAAAGAACGTCTAATGACGGGGGTGGGGGTGGGGGAGGCAGCAATTAAGATGTAAGAAAAAAAAGACAAGCAATCTTTTTAGGCAGATTAGAAGCCAAATATATTCTTCATGCAAGCATAGTGTAGGAAGCTAGCACCCACCCTTTTCCTAGAAGAATAAAATATTTTAGGAAATATTAAAAAAGCAGAATATTATGTTTCCCTGGTTGAGAAATGGAGAAACATGTTTTAAAGATAAAGTAGCTCCCACCTTCCTGCCCCCACCCTTTTGTTAATGGGCCAGAGGCAGAAACTCAATCTTTGTCAATGGACCTTCATCTGCAACACAATGGGACCCATCTAGGACAGAAACTCACCACATGGCACCTGGGAAGATTATATCAGCCAGCAAGGCTAGCTAAGACCCCCACCCCCTGGGAGTCTGACAACCAATCAGGATACTCTTTCGGGGCCCCAGGAAGTTCAAAGCCAGAGAAAGCATAAAACCCAGGGAGTCGCTGTATCTCACCCCTTTTTCTGTTCAGGAACTCAAGCCATATGATCCTGTCCACCATTAAACCATCTTTCTAAGCTGTCTCCATGTTTCCAGTGTCTTTTTCCCCGCTTGGAGCTGAACCCAGAGGATATTTCTTCTAACAATAGAATGGCACCTGAATTCAGCATAGTGGATTTGAAATAGTCCTTGAAATATGTCTAGATAGACATTCTAATTATTCTAAAATGCTACCTGCAGACTACTTTTTGAGTTGAGTTGGATACATCATAACAGTCCCAGTTTGTTATTTGTTCACAGTTCTGGTTGTTGTGAGACAAAAATGCTAATAACAACCTTTAAATGGGGCTGCAAAACTCTTGACCATCACTAGATCACTGTAGTTTCTGTATTTCTCTGCTATGTGCAGTCATAGCACATTTTAGTTCCAGATTATGATAGCAGTCCTTTAAAACTCTACATAGATTTTCTTTGAAGATTACTTTGCCAATAGAAGTGATTATCTGTAGCTCAGAGTTGAATTGTGGCTTTCTCAATGCTCTCTGAATTTGGCTGTTTGCTTGCAGACATTTCATTACCCAACTACGTAATATTATCAGTGCTAATTCTGACAAGTGCACAGCTGATGTTACCTAGCTGGGTAATGAAATATTTGCAAGCGAACAATCAGACCCGCTATTCTCCCTTTGGTGTTTTTCTCCTATCATTTGACTGAGTTTAGTAGGTGAGTATACCTGCTGCATGGAACCACCAGAAAACGTGACGTGCGGAGGCTGAAAATGGGGCGTGCGGAGGCCGAAAACACGACACACGGAAGCAATGATCAGCGGCGATGTGCTGTGGCGATCCCCGCAGCCTGGAACGGGTCTAAAATGGAGCATTCAAAGCAGTGGGGAAATTCAAATTTTTTTACTACCAGTTCTGTGGGCGTGGCTTGGTGGGCGTGACTTGGTGGGCATGGCAGGGGAAGGATACTGCAAAATCTCCATTTCCACCCCACTCCCAGGGAAAGGATATTGCAAAATCTCCATTCCCACCCCACTTTGGGGCCAGCTAGAGGTGGTATTTGCCGGTTCTCTGAACTACTCAAAATTTCCGCTACTGGTTCTCCGAACTACTCAAAATGTCTGCTACCAGTTCTCCAGAACCTGTCAGAACCTGCTGGATTTCACCCCTGGTTCGGAGGCCAAAAACACAAGGCACAGAGGCTAAAAACATGAGGCACAGAGGTGGCGATGGTCTGTGGTAATCCCTGCAGCCTGGAACAGGTCTAAAACAGCGACACGCGGAGGCCGAAAATGGCCAGTGGGTGGGAGGGGCTACATTCAGTGTATAAGGCGCACCCAAATTTTCACCCTCTTTTAGTGGGGAAAAAAGCATGTCTTATACTCTGAAAAGTATGGTAAGTAAAGACACCAATTCTCTGGAATTGCTCTGGAAGGAATCCCATCTAGGCTTTTCAGTGGCTGCATCCAAACACTGCAGTATGCCAATCATCATTTAAAACATAAAGTGGAGTGGCTGGGCCTATACATGATGCAAAGTCCCATTTGAGAGTTGAGGACTGCAACAATATATACAGTATATAAAATGAGAGTAAACCCTACACCCTTTTCAAGCACTGACCTTGTTACAGGTAACCCTCGACTTATAACCATTCGTTTAGTGACCAAAGTTACACCAGCACAGAAGAAAGTGACTTATGACTGGTTTTCACATGTTACAGTATCCCCATAGTCACGTGATCAAAATGTGGATGTTTCGCAACTAGTTCCTATTTCTGATGATTGAAATGGTTTGTGGTCATGTGAGGTGGCGCAGAGGTTAGAGTGCAGTACTGCAGCTACTTCACCTGACTGCTAGTTCAGCAGATCAGCGGATCAAATCTCACCGGCTCAAGGTTGACTCAGCCTTCCATCCTTCCGAGGTGGGTAAAATGAGGACCCAGATTGTTAGGGGGCAATATGCTATTTAGTATACTGTCGATTGTTGTAAACCGCCCAGAGTCCTCGGAGAGTAGGCGGCATAGAAATATGACTAATAAAATAAATAAATAAATAAATCCCCTTTTGCGACTTTCTGACAAGAAGGAAGCTAGATTCACTTAACAACTGTGTCCCTAAGAATTGCAGTGATTCACTTAACAACTGTGGCAAGAAAAGTCGTAGAATAGGGCACAACTCTCTTAACAAATGTCTCACTTAGCAACATAAATTTTGGGCTTAATTGTGGTTATAAATCGAGGACTATGTATGTATACAGCTGGATAGTGAAATGTCTGCAAGACAACCATGCTCAGAGACCACTAAGGACCCCACAAGTCAACCCTGACCTGCAAATATTCTCTTCTATGGATATTTAAGAATGCTCTTGCAATCAAATGTTACAAAATGTGTGTAACTCAATCTAAACAATTGTGGATAGCTTACTAGTTCAATGAATTACAGTTACAGAGTTATATTTCTTTGTCCAAGTTCAAAGGCGCAAGTACAAATCCCCAGCCTATGTCAGCTTTCTGCCAAAGTGACACAGGTGGTCCTCAACCTACGGCCACAATTGGGCCCAGAATTTATGTTGCTAAGTGAGAACTGTGTTGAGTCTGGCCCCATTTTACGATTCTTGTCACATTGGTTAAGTGAATCGCCACAGTCGATAAATTAGTAACCCGGTTGTTAAGTGAATCTAGCTTCCCCATTGACTTTGCTTGTCAGGAGGTCGCAAAAGGGGATCACATGACCCCAGGACACTGCAACCGTTATAAATGTGAGTCAACTGTCAAGGTTGTAAGTGTGAAAAACGGTGGTAAATCACTTTTTTCAGTGCCCTTGTAACTTCGAATGGTCACTAAACGAACTGTTGTCCGTCGAACTATATTAGAATTACAGCTCTCACAATCGATGGCCATACCAGCAAGGGATTCTGGGAGTTGTAGTCCCAACACACCTGGAGCATCCCTGCTGGGAGGAAGGTTTCCTGTAAACCACAAGATGCCTATCTGGTCATGGCGATGGGACATCAACAATCAAATGAAACGCCTGCAAAAGGGGCACAGCGCCTGCTTTCTTCACCAAAGACTTTCGGGAATCACGAGCGGTCCGACCGCATTCCGTTTATGACGCGCCGGAGCTGCTCCACGGGATTACTTTCCCCCATCTCATTTGCATGGCCTCGCCCCTTCGGGAGAACGCCATTGGCCGAGCAGAGCTGCCCTGAGATCGAGTCCGCAAGACAATGCGCGAAAGCTCGGGTGGAACTCCAGCACCTCAGGCTTCTTGATTAGCATAATCCCCGCCCTTTCCCTTCCCTCGCGATCCATTGGCCCGCTTGCGGGAGGAGAGCGAGGCGGGCACGCCCTGAGTGTGGGGGGGAAAGCAGAGGGGAGGAGGGCCGGTCCTTCGAACGTCACGTCGCTCCGTCGCTGATGATTGGACGGCTTGACGCGTCTGTCAAGCGTGGACGGGGAGAGGGGTACGTTGAGAGAGGAGGGGGTGGCGGCGGGTCGTACTTCCGCCTCGGGGAGTGTCGACGGGTCTTGCCGGGGGCTCGAGGCCGGAGAGGCGTGTGCGCGTGCGCACGCCCGCACCTCAGGACAGGGGACGCGCAGGGCGACAGGTAAACCCACCGCCGGCGGGGCTGGAAACAGCGGCCGTCCCCTCGCCAACCCTCCGGGGCTTCGCAGCTCGAGCCCGGCCGCTTGGCAGCGGGAGCTCTACGGTCCCTGTGGCCTGGCTGAGGGAGAGGGGGGACGGAGGAGGGAAGGCCTCGCCGCCTGAGGAGGATGGGGGGGGGGGCGCCCCCCCCACCATCATCTCGGGGGGGGGGGGCGGTGCAGGCCCGGCTGAGGGGAAGAATCCTCCCCCCCCCCCAATGAGGGGGAAATGGGGGGTTCCCTCGTTTCCCCCCCCCCCCCGGTTTGGGAAATGTCGAGGCATGGGGACGGGAGACCCCGCGGCGATCCAAGCGGGGAGGATCGTGACTCTGTCTTCTCAGTGGGTTTTCTTCTTGCCGGGGGGAGGGGGGGACAACATGCCGGGGCTGGGCAGCTGGGCCTCTGCAGAGGTTTTTATAGGAGTTAAGCCGGGGTCCTTCCCTTAAATAGGTTTCTGGGAGAAGTACAGCTAGTCCTCGATTTACAACGGTTCTTTTTTTTTTTTAAAGCAATTTTAAAGGTGGGAAAAGGAGTGCTTTGCCCCCCCCCACTTCACACCCCTTGGTTCTATTGCTCCCTTTAAAATACGGTCAAACGTCCCCGACTTACAGTAGTTCGTTTAGTGACCGTTCAAAGTGACGACGGCGCCGGGGGAAAAAAAAGTGACTCGTGATCGCTTTTTTCACGCTCATGACCCTTGCAGTATGCCCGCGGTTAACCTGATCAGAATTCAGATGCTCGGCGACGGACTCGTTATTTATGACGGCGGCGGGGTCCTATGCGATCCCCTTTTGTGACCTTCTTAAGATGCAAACTCGACGGGGAAGCCAGATTCACTTAACAACTGGGCCAAGGAGTGACCTCAAAAAACGGGGCAAAATTCACTTAACAGATGCCTGGCTTAGCATAATGTAAATTTTGGAGCTCGATTGTGGTCGTACGTTGAGGACTTACCTGTACCGGGTTGATTTTTCTTTTGGGGGCTTCCAACCCGAAGTTGAGGGTGGGTCAACTTGCTTCTGAGCTGAAGAGGCCTGTGGAGACCTCGGCTTTCTCTCTTTGCTTCCTTGCTGGGCTTCTAGGAGATGATGGAGCAGCTTGGCCGGCAAGAGAATGCGAATGCTGATGGCTGCGGGCTGGCAAGCTTCACGTGAGGATGGCTGCGGTTCAGCCTGTCTAGATCATAAGATTATTTATTCTGTTTTAACTTTCCAGCCTGACTATTTCAGTTCCTTACACCGATCTCAGTTCCTTACACCGTAATGAGGAAACAGATAGTCCTCTGCAGGTTAATTTAGCAACCGTTCAAAGTTCCAAGGGCACTGAAAAATGAGACCGTTTTTCACAGTTACGACCTTTTGCGGCATCCCCACAATCATGGGATCAAAATTCAGACACTTGGCAACTGGTTCATATTTATGACCGCTGCTGGGTCCCAAGGTCGGGTGATCCCCTTTTGTGACCTTCTGATGAGCAAAGTCAATAGGGAAGCCAGATTCACTGAACAGCCGGGTTACTAATTTATGAACCCCAGTGATTCACTTAACCCACTGTGGCAAGGTGGTAAAATGAGGCAAAACTCACTTAACAAATGTCTCAACAATAGAAATGTTGGGCTCAGTTGTGGTCTACCTGTATCTTTGGGCCTTGTCTGCTCTTTTTTTGTATTAGAGGAATAGAAGTTGTTTTCCATTTTTACTCAAATATTTTTTTTTAAAGCCTAGATCCGTGATGGTGAACCTATGGCACGCGTGCCACAGGTGGAACGCGGAGCCATATTAGTGGGCACGCCAGCTCAGCTCTGGGGCACATGCGCGCGCTGGCCAGCTGATTTTCGGGCCTTCTGGGCCCACCAGAAGTAGGGAAACAGGCTGTTTCCTGCCTCTGGAAGGCCTGGGGGCGGGGTAGGCCCGTTTTTCTTTCTTACCTGGCTCCAGATCCTCTCTCAGGTAAGAAAGAAAAATGGGCCTACCAGGCCATCATGTGCCAGGAGCGGGGGGGGGAGGGGGTTGTGCACGCATGCACGTGGGCACGTGCGTGCGCGACCCTCCCCCACCCCCCCTCTCCTGGCACGCGATGGCAAAAAGGTTAGCCATCACTGGCCTAGATGAAGGGAACCCAACTGGTGATCTTTGAAAATAGATGTCTAGGGTTTGGTTTAAATGCTGCATTGTCTTATTCTCTGTTCCTGAATTGGAACAGCTTTTCATGATTGTGCAGCCATTCATCCTTGGTAATAAATAATAAGTTACAATAGATTGTAATTGTCCCCTTCCCCTTCTGACACTGGTGCTTGGATTCCCAAACTGTGTTTTGTTTAGCTGAAGGTCTATGCACCCTCCCCAGTTCAAGGAATATGACTGTCATACCGGCATAAAGCTATCTTAAGAATGGGATGATTCATTCTGGGTTGAGGAAAATGGCAGCCGTTCCTTGTAAATGAGGTTCCCTTGTGTGTCATTATTTTGGTTGACATTGAGTTTGACTTGCCTGGAGAATTTGCTGTCTTGGGACGTGCTGAGGGCCATCGGGTTAGAAGCCTTGAAAGGAACCAGGGCCATCGGTAATTATAGCCTCATCTTTTTCTTCCAAAGCTGATGTGAGTTGATTAACAACTGTTGAGGAACAACTGAAAAGGATACTTCTTTATTGTGTGTATTGTGTTGGCTATAATGTGACATAAAATGCAAAGTTTGATGAACTACTGTCCCAACACAACTAAGCTCTTATATTTGGTGAAGGAACGAGTCACAATTTAAGGTGGGTTCACCCCATAGCCTAATCTTTTAAAACATGTGTACAGGTGACCCTCAACTTATAATCGCAGTTGAGCCCAAAATTTATGTTACTAAGTGAGAAACTTGTCAAGTGAGTTTTGCCCCATTTTACAACTTTTCTTGCCACCGTTGTTAAGGGAATCACTGCACTTATTAAATTAGTAACACGGTTGTTAAGGGAATCTGGCTTCCCCATTGACTTTGCTTGTCAAAAGGTCGCAAAGGGGGATCACGTGACCTTGGGACATTGCAACTGTCATAAATGGGAGTCAGTTGTCGAGCATCTGAATGTAAATCACGTGGCCATGGGAATGTTGAAACGGTCCTAAGTGTGAAAAATGGTCATAACTCACTTTTTTCAGTGCCATTGTAAGTTCGGTCACTAAGTGAACTGTTGTAAATCAAGGACTATCTGTATATCCCTTAATTCCTTTCATAATGCAGTATTTGCTAATCTTTCTCCTGGACTGTCTCATCTAACAGCAAGGATTCTGCAAATTAGCTACCTCTCTGGTAAGATCTCATGCCTTTTCCTCATAGAGGTCAATTGTAGCCAGGCATTAGACTACTTTGATCACACTGGATTTTTTTTTTCCACTGCTGGCTCTGAATAATTGAGGATTTGAAAACATGCAGCAAGTTACTGTGAAAACATTTATAGAGGTAGTAAAACAGACTTGTAAAGATAGGGGAGCACAACATTATTTTCTTCTTGGAAAGCTACCACGAGAGCGCTAAGTTGAAATTCATTTTATTTTTTCCTAGAGAAATACGTTTTGTTTTCCTAGCTGAGTACAAGTAGCGTTCAACTTCTAACCGCAATTGAGCCTAAAGTTTCCGTTGCTAAGCAAGACAGTTGTTAAGCAAGTTGTGCCCCCTTTTACAATGTTTTTTAACCACGGTTATTGAGCGAATTTCTGCAGTTGCTAAGTGAATCATGTGGTCGTTAAGCAAATCTGGCTTCCCCCATTGAATTTACATGTTGGAAGCCAGCTGGGAAGGTTACAAAACTCCCATAAGTACCTGCCAGTTGCCAAGCATCCAAATTTTGATCATGTAACCATGGGGATACTGCAATGGTTGTGAGTGTGAAAGCCGGTCATAGGTCATTTTTTTTTAGTGCTGTTGTAACTTTGAACAGTCACTAAACAAATTATCGTTAAGTCGAAGACTACCTGTAATTATATTTGGATTTGCAACTTTTAAAAAAAAAATAATACCATGGAAAGATCTATGATTTCAAGATATTTTTTCTTGTGATGTGGAAATTGTAGCATAATGTGAATAGCATGGATGGATGTTCCCTGTCATTTTCCCCATTTTACGAGTTTTCTTGCCACATTTGTTAAGTGAATCACTGCAGTTGCTAAATTCGTAACATGGTTGTGAATCTGGCTTCTCCATTGACTTTGCTTATCAGAAGATCGTAAAATATGATCACATGATCCTGGGACACTGTGACTGTCATAAATATGAACCAGTTGCCAAGCATCTGAATGTAAATCACGTGACCATGGGGATGCTGCAACAGTCATAAGTGTGAAAAACTGTTACATCACTTTTTTCAGTTCCATTGTAACGGAATGGCCACTAAACAAACTCTTGTCAGTCAAGGGCTACCTGTATCGTGACACTTTTCCCTGATTGATTTATGGCTAACCTCTACCATATCTCCCTGGACCTTGAATTGGAAAGAAACTGTACCAAATTTGCTCCCCTTATTACTACATAATAAGCTTATGAGCTGATAGAAGATATTTTTTTGCTTAGATTTTCTCTTTTCTGCTGACTTTCAGATTCTTTCATGCTTTGTTTAGGGAGCAGTGTGCGATGGTTGGCCCTGTCATTCTACAGCAGACACAGACAAGTTACCATGGCACTGAAAAAAGTGGCTTACGATCATGGGATCAGAATTCTGATACTTGACGACTGAGTCATATTTATGACAGTTGCAATGTCCTGGGGTCATGTGATCCCCTTTTGCAATCTTCTGACAAACAAAACAATTGTGTGACCAACTTAACAACTCATTTAAGAACTCTGGCAAAAAAAGGTTGTAAAATGGGACAAAACTCACTTAACAACTGTATTGTGGAAATTTTGGGCTCAATTGTGCTGATAAGTCGAGGACTACCTGTATAATTGTCGTAGCTCACCGTAGATACTAGGGAGACTTAACACTTACG